AAACTTCACCAATTCACACACTTTTTAGGACAACAGTAATATCATGAACTGTGAAATATCTAGAAAGTACACCAATGCTGAGCTTAAGAAGACAGTGACAACTATATCATGATAAACACTACGAACGGTACAAAATTTGCTAGGAAAACTGCAAGAAATTGTACAGAGAAAATACTTGTATGCATAACATTACAAGTCAAAAGGCATCTTGCAAGAGGAGGCCGCCAGCAATTGAATTCAGATTCAATGATAATTTTCACTAACGAAAATAAAAAAAAATTTACTTCTTCAAAGGAAATAAAATGTGCATTTCAAAAAGCAATCTGCACCTTCTAATTGTTCAACAATTGCATAATGAAAGAAATGTGGCTGCATCCTACTATTGGCCAACAAAGAGGAACAAAACTTGAAATTACAATGGAAAGTCAGAAGATGGGTGGATTTACCTTCGTCTTTGTTCGGTTTCTCTGGCAGTCGCAAGGGAGAAGACGGCCTCGACGTTGTGCTCAGCTTCGGGCGATTCGAGTGACAATGGGAGTGATTTCGACTCAGCTTCGAGCGATTCGACGGCCACTGGGAGTGATTTCGACGTTGACGATCGTCGTCCAAGGCTGTGACTGCGGTCGGCGACTGCAGAAAGAGGGCAGAGAGAGGGTCGGCGATTGCAGAGAGCTTCGACGTTGTTTTGGGTGAGAGGCGACGTTTGGCTCTCTTCCTTCATCTCGCTTTTTTTTTTTTGTTTTTCTTCTCCAAACACTGCCTAGTTAAATCTACAATTAATGCAAAACCTGTAAGATATTACATTTATGCAGAGGGGTAAATTAGTCCAAAATTCTCATAATTTGCCATATTTGTAATGTCAGAAAAAAAATGACATTTGTGTAAGTAAAAATCAAGATTTTGACATGTGGTGTAATTTCCACATAAACAAATTGTACTATTATACAAATATACACACAGCTCTTCTCAAGATTTGAATATAATAATATGATTAGGTAACAATTTAATAAAAAATTTAACCTTGTGATTCCTTGCATTGCAAGTGCCAAGTTTTGATTTGTGAGTGGCAATTAATTTTTTCTTTGACTTTTAATAATAGAAAGCCTAATATTGAAGTTCACATGATTCACACCAAAGTGTGAGATCGAATCGATCGGATCAGTACGGCTTAAAGCCAAGAAATGCGACTTCGTAAAGTATAAGATTAAATAAAGTAACGTGGTTATTCCTTGCCCAAGTAAATATTATTCTTTTTTAGCGACTTTCGGAGGTTTGATTTAAACTCGTGTTTTATTTAAGAACAGCCAAGTCCGACAAAACCGCATCGAGAAATATTATTATCTTGCTGGATTGATCACTGATGCTTGAAAAAAGAAATAACGTGTACGACCCCACTCAAAAGATTAGGTTTAGACATTAACAAAACTTAATAATATTTAATTATAGATTTTTTAAGGTTCCCGCAACTTGTTTGCCTCACGAATCACGTGATATTATAATTAATCTTTGACGATTCATTTAGGGAAAAATGATTACGCCAGGCAACATTTTGCCATCCCCATTACCTGAAAATAAAAATGGAGGGAATAGTATTTTTTAGAAAAATGAGTGGTTGAAAAAGAAGGAAAAATTTTCGATTTACGTGTAATATTATTTTATAGAAAATTGTTTGGTTGAAAATAAGAGAGAGAAAAGTTGAATGTAATGTAATTTAATTTAATGGGATCAAACAGGGGCTTAATTTATCACGAAGGGTAAATTTTTCTTTTATGTTAATCAGATCTTAAACTTAAAAATCTTAACAAAATGAAGTGTCATGCGAGGCTCCGTTTGGTAGCCATTTTCTTCAAAATGCATTTTTCTCTCTTTTCTTTTCAACCACACATTCTTTATTAAAATAATATTATATGTAAGTAAAAAAAAATTTTCTTATTTTTCAACCACACATCTTAAAATAATTTACTATTCTAAAATGCATTTTTACATAAAAATGCCTATCAATGTGTCTATTAATGTGCTTTTACCATGAATTATTCTTCTTGAACAATCGGGGTTGACAATCTCTTTTATCCTTTTAAAATTAATCAAAATTGTGGTTAAGGTCATTTTTTTGGTCTACTAACGATCAAATGGATTGTTTCCATCTAATTGGGCATTTACTACATATTTTTGAAAGGTTAGGGACCTTCGCTAACCCAAATTGAAAGTTGAGGTAAAATCTACAAAAATTTAAAATGTGAGAGAACGTTGCAACAATTTCCCTATTTGCCACAAGTTCTTAAGTTAAGTTTCTTTTATTACGACCATGTGAATTGCTGACTTCTTCAGTCGAGAAAACTGGGTAATTAATTTGACGGACGGGAACTCCCATTGTAGGATGCAGATTCATCCCAAATTTGTCCTTTTCTATAATCTTTCCTTTTTTGTTCACTTATCCTATTACTTTACTTGTTCGTATCCTACGAAATAGACAATAAGTTTGAGCAGTTTAACAATTCGGAGTTCATTTCTATTGTTTGGAAACTTTAATATTCATTTTTCATACTTTTTAACTACGCATTTTATTAAAAAAAAAAATTTCTTAGTTCAGTACAAGAAAATTTTCATCTTTATTCACTGTGTAAAAAACGGCATCTCACATTGGTCGATGATTTCATGCTTCCTTTTAACAATGCACTCTATAAATTCTCTCTCTCTTTCTGTCTATATATATAAACATTGAACTCTGTGATCATTCTATCGTGTGTTTATTTTTCTGTTATCATTCTATCGTGAAGTACCAAAAATTTTAGCTCCGGTCAGCTTTTGAGTTAATTGTTGTTAAACAGAGTGTATATAAGCATAGAAAGAGAGATGTTTGATCTTAATCTGAGCATCGGATCGAATTGGAAAGAGAATTTTGAGGAAGATGAATCCCCTGTAACGACGGCTTCATGGGTTGTAAGTGGGGAAGAAGGCTCCAGCTACAACGGCACGTGGTCCACACGCGCCTCCCCAGAAAAATCTCACACATTCAACTTCGGCATCCTCAATAGAGATGACCCAGTTGAGAAAGATTGTAATTTGACTGAATCGGAGCCAGTGACTCGTGAGCTCTTCCCGGTGAGTGGACTCTGCGAGTTGAACATGGGGAGACCTAATAATAATGGCAATGGAAACTGGATTAATCAACAAGTTGTTCCAAGTAAATTGGTACATCAGCAGGTACAACATGTAAAGCCCAAGAAAAGTAGGAGGGGCCCACCTTCCCGGAGCTCACAGTATAGGGGGGTCACTTTTTATAGAAGAACTGGGAGATGGGAATCCCATATTTGGTAATTTCCTTTCTTTTTTTTTTTTAATCTAACGTCGAATTGATTTTTATTTTATTTAAAAAAAAAAAGAAAGGACACTCTTGAGAGTGGATTCTAATTTTAACTTTATACTAATTATTATTTTGGGTGCAGGGATTGTGGGAAACAAATTTATTTAGGTAAATTGTTTGAGATTCTTTTAATTAATTTCTGCTTTTGGTAAATATTAATGGGATTTGGTGGTGTTGGACTTGTTTTAGGTGGATTTGACACAGCTCTTGCCGCAGCCAGGTAAATTATCGATTTTTTAAATTTTAATATCGTTCTATGAATTTAATTTTTATTTATTTACGGTTATAGAGTATATGATAGAGCTGCAATCAAGTTCCGGGGCGTTGATGCCGATATTAATTTCAATCTTAGTGATTACGAGGGGGAAATTAATCAGGTAAACTTTCTAGTTGAGTTCCTTGTTACCTCAAACAGGGTTAATCTGAGCAATCTTATTCATAATGTTGCAGACGAGGAGTCTGAGTAAAGAGGAATTTGTGCATAGATTGCGAGGTCGCAGCACGGGTTTTTCCAAGTACAAATGTGGTCGATGGGAAGCTCGAATAACGGGCAAAAAGTAAGAATTTGTGTTGAACCTTTAGAGTAATCATCATAAATTACACTCATTTCTGATTCTTAAGTTATAGTTTTGGACTGGGGCATTTGATAGGGCGGCCATCCAGTGTAACGGAAGGGATGCTGAGTCGAGTAAATACGAGGAGGAAAGTATATCAGAGCCAAGGAATGAAGGTATAGTTCAATACAATTTCTCTGTTTCAATGAGTTTGCATTTTGTCTTATACGATACAAACTACGCAGGTAGCCAACACCATCTCGACCTCAATTTGGGGATTTCAACCACTTCCCCAAATGAGAATGAAAGTTTGGCATTGCTTCAGTTCCAACCTGGTGTTGTTCAAAATGCAAGAAAATCCAAGGTAAGAGAATATGTGCCTATATGCTCGTTCCTCCGTTGATCATCATGAGCATTGTTGATAAAACTTTCTCAGCTACAGATGGATCCACCTCTTAAGGGAACATCATTGGCTGGTCTAAATCCTAAATCTGTCTCCTCCTACGAGGTAAATTTATCGACTGTGTTAAGGTTTATAGGCGCCATTTCCGTGCTCTATGCACCTTTTTTACCTCATTTACTGGCTATAAAAACCTCTAATCTGGAGAATAATTCACTTATATGATCATATTGTGTAACATTTAGTTTGGAGTAATAACTTCTGAATCTTGATTTCTTAATTGTGGTTGAGAAACTGAGGAAATAAGATCAAATTCATAGCACCATTAGTGTCGGTTTTGATGCAGTATTGGATCAGAGTCGACGATTTTAGCTTGTGATGTTAATCTTTTTGCCGCAGAGAACAGAATTGACTGGGGGTGGCAAGTGGACAGTCGAGCAGCATCATCAGGATTCCCGTCGTCATGAAAATATCGCACTACAGTCAACAGACATTTCTCGCTACTAGCAATCTCTCAGCCTGGTTGATATGTCAATGTACACAAGTAGAATTGATTTTTATTCTTTCACATGACTGATGGAGCAATTCAAATTTGTTTCTAAAATCGAGAAGGATTCATATTCAAGAAGCAAAAAACCAAAATCCCATTTTCTTTTTAATTTCATCCTCTCTAAAATTCATGCTTTCTAAAGGCCTAATGATCACGAGAAGACCAATTATTTAATTATATTTATTTTATATGGGATAGATGCTTAAAATTTATATTAAGCCATTTGACAAAATTTATAGATGGTCAAATTTCATTTTCAATCAAATAATTTTAATTGATTTATAAATGCTATTCACTTATTTATTATTTATTTTTATATGTTTATAATTTTTTTCAAAATGGTTGAAAATAAGTTGCGATATCGATGAAATCATTTTCCAATATGCTTACGTGTATTATATATATATATATATGAGAAAAGAAAAGCATCAAATCTAAGGTTGTATTTATGGGTTGATATGGTATCTTTGTATTGTCGAATCAATGTCCTTGTCTTGTGTTAAACTTGGCAAATTGTAGGAATCTTCATCAGTGCCAATAAAGATTAATGAATTGACATTTATGGCCCATATGCTATATTCTAGAAAAGGAAAATTGTACACTTTCAGATAGTCTTTTTATGTTGCAAAGAAGATCGTTACGTTGAGTTGAAATGCATCATAGTCATAGATAGAACAAAGTCCATTTTGCATCATACCTGAGGAAGGAGAACGAAAAGAACTAAAGAAGAGAATAAAGGCAAAGAAGAAAAGGGAAGGAAACAGGATATAAAGCTAGTGCAGGAGATTGGGTGTTGTTGGAGCCGGAGGATGGGAAGCGGGGCGTCTGAGAATGGGCAGATGTGGTATGAGGGTGCTCGAGTGTTGGGATGCGACTGGAAAAGATGCAAATGTCCTTAATATTTTCTTGTTATGCATATGAATGGTTATATTGTCATTACGATTTTTTATTCTTCTAAATATTTTGTAAGAGTAAACTGTACTAAAAGTCCAAACCATAACTCATTCGTCACATTTATGTTTTCTCCATTGCATTTTTCTCTTCACCTTTCGTTAATTAATAATTTAATACATCAACCTTCACTAATGTAGTTTCCATGCACGCTAACAGAATATTTGAATAGAAAGAAAACCGTGATTATGCTACAATCACCCAAGAAAACCCTTTTCTGGTGTGGAGATTGATAGTTTGTGACAAGTAAAGAATTCTAAAACTTATAATATTTATCAAATTCATTTTCAACCATACATTTCATCAGACTCACAACTTTTATCAAAATCTACTAAAAATCTCAATTTTAGCTAAACTGAACATGGACTTGATTTGGTAGAATATTATGCATTTTGTTGTCCCATAATATCCCATTTACATGAACTCAGAGTTACTGCATTCCTAAAAATACATTGATACAGCTACAAATTTTTCAATATGAGGGGCAAAAACATGTCACTAGGACGTATTCATTGATTTTTTGTGAAAACAAATAAATAAGAAAACTCATTTTCTTGAGTACATTCTCAAGTAAATAAGCAAACATACTGTGTAAACATAATTCCATTTCCGGAAATTGCCTCCACACAAATCAATTTTCGTCATTATGAAGAAAATATTTCCAATCACCTCTCTAGTTTCTCAACTTCACAAACAAACTAACAAGCTTCAGCATTACGAATAAAATGATCACCTTCTGATTTCATCGTGAACAACATTCCTTGTGCTGCCATCACATTAAGCCTGAATCTCAAGCTCCTTTTACCTGAAAATGGGTGGAAAAAGAAAAGCAATGAATAATATGAGCACATATTTCAAACCAAAAAACCTATTCCTGTCCGGATTAACATCTCAAAACTCTGTTGTTCCGTAAGTTTCATGGAAATTGAGATCCACAAGAGTAATGCAAAAGGGAGAGGTGAATTATACTTCTGTGTTTTTCAAGTATAAAAAGGATTAGGATTACAGGGTTTATAACTTCTTCAGAACTATTCTTTAATCTTCCCAAGACTAGAAAGATACACGGGGATAAGGGGAAAAAATCAGTTAAAGGAATCTCTGCAAAGTCTAATATAACCATCAGCAGAAGTTTGCTTTGTGGAAAGTGTACAATGGTACAACAAACTCAATGCTCCTCCTTTTCTCATATAAAATAATTTCATCTTTCAATTGACAAAAAAGAAGAGTGACCATTTAGCCTCTAATCTTCTTTCAAGTATTCTACTTCACTTATTATTTCCCCACGATATACATGCACAACAGCCTCATAAACTATTCAACATGATTTACCATGTAAATGAGAGCCAATATTTTACCTGTCGGTTTGGGACTCCCTATTTGAAAGGGCTTGATCCTCCACCAACTTAAAAGCAACCCATTCAGACTACTAGTGAATCACTCTCATGTCCTTCGAATGCAATCATTTCTGTGCTCAAGGCCTCAGGTTGTTTAGTCGATAACAGTGATCAGGTCATCAGATTGCCAAGCATTGAAGTCCTTAAAGCAGGCATTCTCTAAGTCACACACGATCTTCCTATTTCACCAGTATTATCAGTTCAAACTGTGCCAAGTAAGTCTCCTCAACCAAATTTAAATCCCATTTGCCCAATTATATAGATTTCCAGAATTTAGCATGCGGATCTTTGAATCTTCATAACCATTGTAGTACTTAGGTAATCCCAATCTCTCATTCCTGAGTAACTCTGCCATACCTAAATTATTCTCACCCTGCACCGAATTCCACCCATCCCATTGTCCATTGGATGTTATAGCATTTCTAGGCTGAGGGAGAGTGAACTGGGAAAATGGGGACAGGTTGTTGGCTAGGGTTTGCTCCATTACCCTAGAGGGAACTCCATAAGCGTCACCAAGGGGAGAAAAATTGTCAACCGGGTCTGTATATCTCTGGTTTTGATGCGTAGGAACTGATCTTTGTGACAAGGACTGGAATCTTATGTCTTCAAGTGTAGTAAACTGTGGAGAATAACTTAATCTGGTATCCAAGCTTGAGCTGTTGAGTCTACCAGGAAGCATCCCTTTGCCAACTGCCAAAATCGCAGGATCCAAAAACTCAAGTTCGCCATTATCAATGGAATCACCAGTTGGGGGTGCCTGATACTGATTTCTTGGCCAAAGCGAAGCATTGGGCATATAATTTCCTGCACAAGCACATAATAAAGTGATAATTCATAATCAAACACAAGATTTTTAACATGAAATAGAAGCCCAAAAACAAGAAAGTGCTTGGCATAAATTAACTGACCAGAGGGTGGGTCAAAAATCTGCTCTGTCCTCTCATGAGAAATAAAACCAGGGGGAGGTGCCCTACTAGGCACCGAGAAGCCCGGAGGGGCAGAAACTTGAGATCTAGAAACTGTTAAAAGGCATTAGGAAAAAAACATTTTGAGGGAAGAAAATAGAACACTACATAAGAAAAAAATGTGTGCAGTTAGCATCTTCAAAGTAACTTGATAAAATAAAAGCTCTAATTCCAAACAAGGAAAGCCATTCACAGTACATAATACACTAATCAGTATCAAAACCATCAAGAAATGCAGGCAGGTAAAAGATAACACGAAATGGAGATAGGTACATCAACTAAAATCTAATATATTAAAAGAAACTTGAAGTACCCTCATGTGATAAAAATCTAAAGAAAGTTACAAACATATGCAAGTCCAAAAAGAATAAACTTCGAACAACAATCAGCAACAAAATAAACTTCACACCACCGTATATAATATGAATACATAGCAACTCACCAGAAAGCTTGTTAGAAGAGATATAAGAGTGACTGCTGGCAAAATTATCCGACTCCATGCCCTTAAATGGAGATAACCTATTGTGAGAACCTAACTTCTCAATATGAAAGCTGTTGATGTTGGTGAAATCATTGCCAAAAGAGCGGTCCTTAAGGGCTTGCTCGACATGATTGATAGTTGGTCCATAGTCCGATGCTCGGTTCATAGGTTCCTCTTCTCTAGCAAAAGAAAACCTTGATTGATTGCTATTCTGGATTTTCCGTGAACTAGGTACTCCAAAAGACCCTTGTTGTACGTCAGTTTCATGAAACAATTTAGACAGGCGCTTAGGTGAAGTTAATGACTCGTCCCATGAGTAAGAGTCCAAGGACAAAATATTTGATATTATGCTGCTTTCCCCCTCATCAGTGGCATGATGACTATGACTGGCTGCTTCACCTTCAAATCTTCCCAAAAGTATACTTTCGTTCTCATTACTTGGAAAGAAGTAAGTATATTCACCATCATTCACTAACTCAGAAGAACTACTGAGTTCATTCTTGTGATGTCCATTTGACATAACAGGATTACTAGAAGCTGAAAGTATCAAATTGTCTTTTGAATATACAATTTGCCTATCCACATTGACTCCGACTGAAGCATCAGCACTATCATGCGGTGGAGAATCAATATTAGAATACTGTGAAAGATGAAAAGAGTGAGAAAAATCTAGTCTACAGACTCTGTTAGAAGAAAACTCAGGATCCTTAAGTCTTTGTTTTTCAAAAGATAATAGATTATCTTCCATTTCAAGCGAGTCAACTTGCGAGGCGTGCGTCTGCATTTCCAATTTCATCTGAGACTGACTACTTGAGGCATAAACCTCAACAATCGGTAATGCAGATTTCCCAGAAGTTTGAGATGTCAACGTTTCTCCAATGTGCTCAGCATAGCCATTCTGCAACTGCTGATGTCCATCAATGCTCATTGAACAAATTTCAGAGCATATATTTTCAATTTTTCCATCCGCAGATATGTTGGTATCTTCGTCTGAATCAGATCCACGAGACTTTAGGGATTGATCAATTGAGTCATTGGCACCAGGTGGCATGATGGCATCTCTACCCTGGTCCTTAGATGTAGGTTGACCATTTTGCCTGTTTATAGGTGAAGTAACAGAAAGTACAGACGTGGAGGAACTGTTCAAAATAGTTCTGCCATCTGTGCTCGAATCCTTTTCCACAGGTTCTACAGTTTCCAGTTTGCTTTTGTCTCGACTTGTGTTGCTTTCTTCACTAGGAACCAGTTTCTTTTCAGTGTCACTATGCAACAAAGAAACCTGACTAGAGCTAGCAAGTGCCGTATAAAATGTCCCCGAACCATCGCAGGCATCAAGTTTCTGCTTATGTAGTCCATCGGAACATGGCACACTTTTGGATAAGTGTTGATTACTGGAAGCACGAGCCCCCCTAGTGAAGACAATTGAATGCTGAGAAACAGCATCATATACAAATTGAAAGAGACTACAGATCAGTAATTGACATACCATGAGGCTCCACTAGGTAGAGCAGCAGATCTACCAGAGCTGCTATTTGGTGGAGAAACTCTAGCATCATTCACCGAATTCTGTTCAGGAAGAAAATTTTTGTTAGCAGGGAAAAAAATCTGGATATTTCAGCAGCAATCAATGCTTAGATCACCATTTCCACAAGAAATACAAACTAAAATTCCACAGAACAGTACCATATAATAGATGTGCATATGTTTGTACAACAAACGACAACTGAAATATTTCCAGAATGTATTTTGAAGACTCTTCACAGCGTCAAAGTTTGTAAAAAGTCAGATAGTTTGGTAAAAAATGAGAATCTTACATTTGTATATGTAGCAGTTTTACTTAAAGGCTTCCCGGAAGAAACGTAGCTGCCACTGCAGTAGTCATCTGCTGGGGGTGGTAACGCACTTCCTGAATGCCGTTGCACACTATTTGTTGCACCAATAATTTGTTGAACTCTACTCCTTTAAAATCATTAGCTAAGTTATCCAGAAGAACCAATAAAAAAATCCAACAAAAAGCTGAACATGATATAATTGGAGATACAGAACACCACAAAAACAAGAAAATTAGCTAGGAGAAAAAGGAACAAAAACTGATATGTAAGAATGCATCTTTTCCAAATACTCTTGCATATAAAAATAATAAAAATATCCCCGCCCCCTCACCCCTAAAACATACAAACTTGAGCGCATGCGCACCGGCGCGCACACATATTAAACTCCAAATTTAGATTAACAAAACAAAACTCCTCAACAAATTAAGAAACTACCAATTGAGAGGGCAAAACCACAATTTTCATCCATAAACAAAAATCAAGTTTTCGACTCAAGATAAGCTCCAAGAAAAAACATTGTAATTGGGGTTTCAAGAAAACTGCATAGGAAATGGAGTCTTCAGTCAACATGTAACCCAGGGCAAAAATAATAAAAATATACTGTACTAATTCAGTCTTTGCCAGGAAAAACAGGTGCCACTTAGAACTTCAATTGTTACTCTATAAATGTTGAGATGACAATCATGACATTCTCATTTGAGACTCATAGAGGCATCTCAAACCTTGAATTGATGATCAATGAAATTTCAAACATTACACGTACCAAACAACATTTTATTTCATTGTACATTGACTAATGACTTAAAAAAGTCCATAAATGAATCAACCAATAGATAATTGCATGATGTTTGATCATTATGCAACAAGCTGATGATGAATAAAGACTTAAAAGGTTGGCCCGAAGGGATGGGCAGATACCAAAAACATCGGCGATTGCATTCTAAGTAAACAAGACTAAAAGGTCCACATGAAAAATTTACTACTTTCACCATAGATCCAAAAGCATATAATGAAAATGAAAATATATAACTGGGTGCATAACAATATGAAAACACCTTGTGTAAGCGGATATTATTTCGTCCTTAGTAAAACTATCCTCTTGTGAACCAATCTCATGCAAATATAGACAATCAGGGTTGCTGCAAGGCTGGACAACAAAAGAAATAATTCAATATGAGACACCGTGTATGACAGCAATATGCTATAGTTACATATTCGAGTATATACGTAATACGGAAAAATCCAATATTGAAAATGACTCAGCAATCATACCACATTTCTCAGCCACGCATGACAGTATTTAGTCGTTCCAAAGCATGCCCTGCAACATAAAACTTCAAACAACTATCCACCAACTCAAAAAGAGACCAGAACACAAATATAGAGTTACACTTGCCTCAAAGATCTACCCTCCAAAATGAATCCATGTACAGACTGGATGCAGCGCACTGCTTCTTCCTCCTTTGAATAAGTTATATATCTAGGCCAAAAGGAACCAAAAAAGGGCAAGATTTAAATAAGCTAAAATAATTCATGACTAAGTTAAATGTAACATTACGGAGCGCTCAAGGTACATTATACACTAGAGCGACACATACAACACAGGTAAAGATATAGGATATGCGGCCAATGCTTCACTGACATGTAGACAAAATTGGACGTATAACATATTCAAAGTTCATTTGCTGCAAAAGTAATTTAAATGGAATAAAATTCCGTTTTTAACACCTGTGTATTTGAAAATAAAACAACATATCATGTTCGTTTCCAATGGAACTCAAGATTTACACATCAGATATACATAATCATCCTGCAGCAAGGCTCCAAACCCATCCTAAATGTCCTACATAACTTCTAAAAGTTTAACACCAAAATCATTATAATTGAACTTGAACACTATTATACTTGTAGAAAAATGACTTGGCATCATTTGAAGAAACTTACACACTGCATGTACTATTTGCAAACTGTTGTATGGCACCAGCTGCTGTCCGCGATATAGACACCTTCACCACCTTTCCATACTGGCCAAAATATTCTTTACGCTGGAGGAGCTGCTTCAAAATAAATCAATAGTGTTGAGAACATGAAAAGAGAAGGACGGGAAAGAGCAATGACAGAAGAGGCACTTACATCTTCATCTGCTAAATTAACTGGCAACCCCACAACATAAACAAGATTCCTTTGGACAACTCTTACACTACTAAGTTGCTTCCTTCCCTCCGATATTTTGCTCTTACCCTTTTGTGACTTAAATTTTTTCTCCGTACTCATCTCAGAAACCAACCTATTATGATGATCATGGAGATCATGATGATATCAGAGAACAACATAATTACCTTGCTCGATCAGCAAGAGTTTTCACGGCAGATTTCATCTTAAATACCAATAGTGAATTACCTTTCACAGTTTGCTCCCGTGCCAACAATCTTTTCTTTGTCATAAGGTGTACGACATGCTGGACACCGCCCTTCTGTCTCATCTTTCTCAGCCATGTCCATAATATGATGCCAGCACCAAACACAAATCTACAAAATTGCAAAAAAATAAATAAATAAATAAAATAATAATAATAATAAAATACAGAATCTCGACATGCACAAATATAGTTGTATATGAGAAAGATCAAATAAAAATAGCCCTGTATAGAAATCATGGGTGGAAATCAACAATTTGACAATACAACTTCATGAAGTATCTAAAGAACCACAAGCAAGTTCAACATCATTTTGTGTGATCTTCTCAGCGAAAGAAAAAGAAAAAGAACAAGAATGGGGGCACTGAAACTTCTGCAGCTTCTTTCCACAGTAAAGTTGCTGTGTATTCTTTATTTAATGTGTTGGATGACAGTTTATAAAATTACAAATCAAATATAGAAGCAGATTTTCTGCAAGCTCAAAGAAACCATAGTTCATCTTTTCAGAAACTTCCAGTCGACTGAGATAAGAATTTTCAGATGAATATTTAAAGCCAGTTGCTTTCTTTGAAAAATTGTCTATAAAAGCATAAGATCATAGCATCAAAAATCATATATTTCACCACAAAATCCTAATTAAACATTCTGTAGCAAGATCCTTGAATAGATGGGAAATGAACTTTATTTCAAGATTACAATTCACTGGTCAATAATTTAAAATTCCTACCAGAGTGTGCTAGTGGGAGGGAGAAATGGCAACTTTCCACATCCACCCACCACTGAAATAAAATGAAAATACCAAAAACAGACACCCTCAAAAAGTGAACAAAAGGAAAAGGAACAAACATAATTAATATTTCCCTGCCCCCACAACACTTGTTTGAAGAGCTGGCTAAGGGAGAGATATTTTGCCTAGTTGATGAGGCAGATAAATTCTCAATACCCTTTATTATTGAAGCAATTGCAACTCAGATAGATGATAACCTTATTTTACTTATTACTCAATCTAAACAAAGAATCTCATGAACTTAATTAAGTTTCCGGGAAGCTAATATCAATCCCAATATATTTCTATAATCATCAACTAGAGACTTCTACTGCCATGTTAACCTTAATTTAATCTAGGTTTTCATCGCAATGCACACACATTTATCTCATTTTTAGTCAGTCCTGCACCATAAAGGCGTAGGGCAAGATGAACTAATGGCAATGATGTCAGTGTAGTTATCATCATGCAGAATTCATAGCTGATTAATGAGATAAGGGTCAAGCACCAGTATTGAATCGTGAAGCAGTTGTGGGCCGGCAGTGTTGCACCTAAAGTGCATTGTTGTTTCATATGAAATTTTTTGGTTCCCAGAATACTAATCACAATGTCACATGAACGCATGTATGTGGGAGCACCCACGGAGAATAGTAAACTATACTAACAGCTTTTAAAAGGGTATTTCTAGCCAATAGATTTAAAACCAGACAACATCCGCCTATTCTCTCATTCACTATGTCAATGAAACAGGGCATAAAAATCAGACAGCTATTGCTCATAGCACATCTCTCTGTCTAAGGAAGTACTACATGCCATTAAAATATCGTATTCAGATCTAACTATTCATGTTTCCACAAGACTTACAAACGAAGATGTTAAAAAAGTTTTATCAAGTTTATGCCTTTTCAGGCAATACCAACTTCATGACGCTTGAACGTTCATTTTTATATATCAAAAAAGTAACTCAAAAAGTTTCCATCCTAATCCTACTTATATGGCATAAAATCTCAGTCATGCTGAAATTAGATGGTGTAAAATCTGAAGCTGCAAAGCATACAAATGATTGATAAAGAAAAGACAGTTATCTCACACAAATAGATCCTAACAACAACAGCTTCAGTCTCTACCTTCTTGTTATTTCCTCGTTTTTATATTGGTACAAAATCGAACATAAGCTAATGTACACTAGTCAACTTTAAGGTGATTACCATTAGACTTTTTGCATTAATGGCATAGGATGCTGAATTCCATACAATTCAAAAAGGGGCACAATGGACAGTTGTGGGACTGTGTGGATTCCAGAAACCTTGAGGTTTTGGCAATTTAAGGCATCAAAATATGATGAGATAGAAGTAGTTACCTCATAGCCACACTTGCAAGGCTTCAACTGCTGATCAGTCAAATCCATCTCCTCAGCACAGAGGGGGCAAGTCTTTTCTCCTTCGTCACCCATGGTTGCTTAAAAAAACTTGAATATTGTGTAGTTAGATATTTTCTGAGCTTGAACACAAATACTTACATATGTCAAACAGAAACTAAGACCAAATTAATATAAGCCTAATTCAAATGAAATGTGATGGCAGATTAACAGTGTCTCAAAATCCAACTCGCTGAATATAATATCTAGGAGGTAAATTTTTAAATTAAATAATTGAAAAAACAAAAGTTCTAAAAAATCGAAATCTAGCTAAAAACAACTTTTCTTTAGAATAAAACCCACTTTTACCAACCCAATCCAAAGTCAAACCCTTAAAACATATAATCCAGAACAAACAGTTCGCGCACATTTCAGCAATTATAATTACCCGACTCTCAAATAATAAATACAAACAGAATCAATTAATTAATCAATCAATTAAAACCAAATTAATTCAATCCAGAACCAAAATTAAATCAATCCAGATAGATTACAAAATTGAGTTCCGCTGTGACAGACTTAAATTTTAGTCTTCACAATATTCTATAATAAAAAGAACACTCAAAAGCCGCAACTGGGCTTAAATAAAAACAAAAATAAAAAATCCTTCTATCCATTTTCTGAACAAAAAAATAGGGATCTAAAAGGAAATTGAAATTAGAGGTGTAATGACTTACAGCGGATGATTGGATCTGAGATGAAATAGCGATAGAGAGAAAAAGAGAGCCACAGAGACGAGTGTTCAGAGAGAGAGAGAGAAATGGAATAGGGGTGAGAGAGTGGGAGAGAGAAGGGTCGGCTTTTTAATGACGGGTACAGCTACTCGGGTTTCGAAATGGTTTCAGTCTCGGGTCATATCCCGGGTTTGAGATTCCCGGTTTTGAATGCAAGTACACATTCCAAAAGTCAAAATTCAATAGCATTCACCTCCTACTATAAATCGTAGAAAACCCAGTAATTATCATATTACCAATATGATTTTGAAACTATTGAAAATGCTAATGGGAAATCATCTTTTCACAAAATAATAATAACCATGTTAAATGTTGATGCCGAGTTTGATATTGCATCAATGGAAGATGGAGGGCCCGGGAAAACATACACTTGAAGATTTGCATTTTTTTATGCTTTTCAAAAAAATAGATCGAGTCACTCACGTCATTCATGCTTCTCTTTACTTGACCCCTACTCTCATCTCTCCTTCATTCCTTCGGCCCTTTTGTCGGCTATTGAATTCTCCAAAATAGGTAAATAACTAAGGCATTCTTAAGATTCATATATTTTTTTCATTATGAATAAACTCTATTATTGTTTCGTAAGTGTTATTTATTTCATATTTATTCTGCTGTTGAGATTCATATTTTTGTTGTACATATCGTTTAATTATATGTTTGCCGTCTTTAGTTATGTATATTAGAGATGATGGGTCAAATGTCTAGCCCCTTATTTGACAGCAATTTTTAAAAATAATTAGGGCATGTTCTCTTTGTTGTTTTCGGGTCATTTTCAGTTTTTAATTTTCGAAAACACTGAAAACACTTTTACTTACCTATTTTTAGAATCGAATTTCCAAAAACGACTTTAAAATTTACAAAGAAAATGAAAAACGCCAAAAAAGCCGTTTTGTCTGTTTTCAGTTAAACCTGGGCAACAATTCAAAAACGCGAAAAATGGGTTATTTTGCAAATAGTGGATTGGCTTAGTTGGTTGAGTCATGGATTTCTTGAAGGTCACGGGTTCGATTTTGTTTCAGTACAATTCAATACAAAGGAATTTTTTTTTTTTTATATGCACAATACTAATTTTTTTAGTTTCCAATTTTTCAAAATTAGAAAGTAAACGTGTTTTATTTTTGAAAACAATTTTTCAAAATGACAAAAAGAACACATTTTTAACAATATCAAAATAGACACTCAAAACCTAAAATCCAAAATGAATTCAAAACTCATAACTAAAAATTGAAACACAAAGAAAACAAAGAATCCTATTTTGAAATTGTTGAAAATGCATTCTCTTTTTCATTCTAAAAAACTGTTTTTAAAAAACATAAAATTGAAGAACACGTTTACTTTGAAATTTTGAGAATATTTTTTTACAATATTTTATTCAATAAATATGATTATTCAATAAATTTTAATAGTTTAATGTTGATATAGTATTAAATAACATATAAATTTTGAAGTTGATGAATCTTGAAATATTTTTGATAGATAGAAAAAACACAACATAAATTAAATTTGGCAACACAGTTCAATAGATACTATTAGAAGTTTACGTGTCATGGCAAAACAAGTAGACACTAAACAAAATATAAAGTACATCCGCGAAATCATGTACGATGTCTTGAGTAGTCATTCCACATTTGTTTAGCAATTTGATCCCTGACTTGTCTCATTTGAGCTATTTGACTAGCATTAAAATGTATAACTTATTGATCTTAATTTGACTCTGGTATTTCTTGAAACATCATATTATTCTCTGAATACTCTACGAACAACTCATCTAAAGCGTGCTCCTGACAAATAAAGTTGTTTATGGCGCAATATGCAGTAGGGATTTGTCTTTGCCTACTAAGTGGATAATTGGTAATCAACTTCAAAATAGGAAATCTTGCATTTAGAACTCCAATGCAACGTTCAATAATGTTACGAAACGAGGAGTGTCTATAGTTGAACAATTCTTCCTTCCTACATAGTCTTCCTCGTTCAATATAGTTACGCAAATGATATCTTTGACCTTGATAAAGGGCAAGAAATCCAAGCATATTTGGATATCCATAATCAACGAGGTAAAATTGATCTGCAAAATAAAGAAATACTCACATAGTGTGACAGTGTAAATATAATCGCAATAATTATTTGAAGTATAAGAATATACCTCCTCGTGGCATTGGAAGGTTGTTCGAGCTTCTTGTGATCGAGTCAACGAATACTCGCAAATCATTAGCAGTACCTTCCCAACTAGAGAGCACCAATGTGAATTTCATATCAAAATCACATGTAAACATCATATTTTATGTTACATTAGTTTTCCTTCCTCGAAAAGATGTTTGTCTTGATGCAGGAGTCCAGGCTGCAATATGTGTTCCATCTATTGCGCCTATACAATCCTTAAAGAAAGGATATCTATGCAAAATCCACTCATGCACAATGTCTTGATTTGTCGGATGCATTATCTCAATGCCAAATGAACAAACAGTCCTTACAACTTGTTTAGACTATTTGTGTATCGTGTTGTTGGAATGTCGAAACCTATCACCAATAATATTGTATCGTGTAGTGTGCCCTAAAATCATCATAAACAGAGCAATACCATCCTGGATGCTCACTTTTTTCCATCTTTCAACAACCCTTTCTCTTTCAAAATATCACAAAAATTCATGAAAACGTATTTCTGTATATGAAAATTGCAATAGCACACGTCCGGATGTCCATTCAAAATTTCTAGCACGTACATTTTTCCTGTAAGCAATGATGTTCTACAAGGTCTCCTGTCAATGGTACTTCCTTTGTTGGTAACAAAGCAATTAAGCATCATTAAATCTTCAAATTTTGTGTTAAAATCATCCATATATAACAATTCATCATCACTCGAATCTTCATCAATGGAATCATCGATACTCACATTATCATCCACATTTGATTAACTGGCCATACTGTTAACAAAATATAACCAAAATAATTATCATACGTCATATCAACCACCATTCTTTCGAATAAAACAAACAATCAAGCATTTATAAACTAAAGAAAAATTAACATCAGTTCTCCATCTAACAACATCACTATGTCCGTAAATGAAAACAGTACAACATTACTACAAAATGGAAAAAAAAAAAGGTACTTCAAGCTTTGAAAATGACACAATACTTCTAACTTTCAACATCACAAATTAAAACAACACGATACTAGAGAAATTAAAACAACAATCACATCAAAGTAGTTCCAAGATAGAACGTCCCCTTGCTTCCGGCATCTTCACAAATGACACCCCGAAAACGGGATCTTTAAAAGCCTTTATTACTTTCATATAAACCTTGTTGGACACCCCATCCATATTATTTAAGATGTCCAAGCAAATAACATTTGAATAATGATCTGGACTATTAACTTCACTATCGGATTAATTACTTGATTTTTATTGGATCTTTGCAAGCTTTTCTTTTAGGTAAAGTGTTCTAAGTTCAATTTCTTCATTCCTCAAACTAACTGTAGATGACCACTGTGCCATGAAGGCCTCGAGTTTATCACTTTTATTGATCTTACGTTCCTTATATCACTGTTGACCTAATGTATCAATTTCTTTACGTTGACAAGTCTTTGAAATCATGGAGTAAATTACACTATGTGACTCTTCCAGATATGAACTACCACTTGGGCATGCTATACAAGCAAGATCTTATTTTTCACTCTATACTCATCCAAAAACCCAAAATCATGAAAATCAGTTAGGCTTATGAATCTTTCTCACTCTTACTATTTAAATAATTTGCAGGTACAAAATGTGATGCAGGTACAAAATGTGATGAAAATGTTTATTTTACCTCAGCATTCATGCACATAACTTTTTATAATTTCTCTGCCATGACCGAAATTTAATGTATTATTGATGTAGGATGTCTTAGAAGATTCCCTAAATTAGTTTATATATAAATCTAAAAGCCCTAAATCAGAAAGTTTCAATCTTCTCTAAATCAATTTATATAAATCAGAAAGCCGTACATCCTTAAATCAAAAAACCCAAAATCAGAAAATATTATAGGAATTCGGAATCCCTAAATCAAAATTCATGGAACCGGAATAAAGCACTAACACTGAAAGAGAAAAATTGAAATCAAATGCTAATTTTACACACCTTCAAGAAGAAAGCAGCGATTGGAAGTTAGAGAGATGGTGGACAGCAGAGGGTTCACTTTGAAGACAGCACCACAGACTTATCACGCACGACAGACCACAGATGATAGACGTACTCACTACTCACGCACGATGTAGAGAGTCAAGATGCAGACCCACGGTGTAGAGAGTTAAGATGCAGACTTTGGAATGGAGAAAGGTAGTCAGTCGGAAGAGAGAGATGCAGTCAGGGGAAAGGTTAAAGGAAGTGGGAGGGGAGAGAGACGCAAGGATTTTGGGACATGCGGAAATAAGATAAACGAAAATGAGAGAAAAGTCTAAAAAGAGTGTTTCCCGTGTTTTGTAAATATGCAAGATTTTTGCTAGAAAACACTCAAAACATCTTTTTAGGCATTTTGAGTTTTGTTTACAATTTTTTTTTTTTTTGTTTTCACAAATTCATTTTTGAAAATGGGAAGGAGAAGATGTTTTCATCGTTTTGAAAAATCGAAAATAGAAAACGACAAAGAGATCAACTCCTTAGTTTTTGAATTGTTAAATTTTGAAGAATGTGTGGTTAAAAAAGTCGAAAGAAGTTTTGGACGTGACAAATATTTAATTGTAAGAATGTGTAATTGAAAATGAGTATGAGAAAAAAAAGAGTTTTGAAAAAATGATTATCAAACGAGGCTTAATTTAACATTGACAAATAGACAAGTCATTGTTTAAGCTTTTTTGTCCTATAAGATAGCCGACCCAAATGGGTATAGAATAACATGGTGTTGAGTTTTTTTAATAAATGAAAAGAAAACACTATTGAAATGGAAAATGAATTTAATGTTTGAGGACGAACTGCTGAAAATTTTATAAAATTATAAAGTTTAGAACTTTAAAATCTAAATTCCTTTATTGTCAAGATCCTCTATGTCAAATCACCAAGAAGTTATTAAATTCAGAACATACCTTAATTTTTTGGGAATGATT